TGATAATGATAATGATAATGATAATGATAATGATAATGATAATGATAATGATAATGATAATGATAATGATAATGATAATGATAATGATAATCATAATCATAATCATAATCATAATCATAATCATAATCATAATCATAATCATAATCATAATCATAATCATAATCATAATCATAATCATAATCATAATCATAATCATAATCATAATCATAATCATAATCATAATCATAATCATAATCATAATCATAATCATAATCATAATCATAATCATAATCATAATCATAATCATAATCATAATCATAATCATAATCATAATCATAATCATAATCATAATCATAATCATAATCATAATCATAATCATAATCATAATCATAATCATAATCATAATCATAATCATAATCATAATCATAATCATAATCATAATCATAATCATAATCATAATCATAATCATAATCATAATCATAATCATAATCATAATCATAATCATAATCATAATCATAATCATAATCATAATCATAATCATAATCATAATCATAATCATAATCATAATCATAATCATAATCATAATCATAATCATAATCATAATCATAATCATAATCATAATCATAATCATAATCATAATCATAATCATAATCATAATCATAATCATAATCATAATCATAATCATAATCATAATCATAATCATAATCATAATCATAATCATAATCATAATCATAATCATAATCATAATCATAATCATAATCATAATCATAATCATAATCATAATCATAATCATAATCATAATCATAATCATAATCATAATCATAATCATAATCATAATCATAATCATAATCATAATCATAATCATAATCATAATAATAATAATAATAATAATAATAATAATAATAATAATAATAATAATAATAATAATAATAATAATAATAATAATAATAATAATAATAATAATAATAATAATAATAATAATAATAATAATAATAATAATAATAATAATAATAATAATAATAATAATAATAATAATAATAATAATAATAATAATAATAATAATAATAATAATAATAATAATAATAATAATAATAATAATAATAATAATAATAATAATAATAATAATAATATGATAATATGATAATATGATAATATGATAATATGATAATATGATAATATGATAATATGATAATATGATAATATGATAATATGATAATATGATAATATGATAATATGATAATATGATAATAATAATAATAATAATAATAATAATAATAATAATAATAATAATAATAATAATAATAATAATAATAATAATAATAATAATAATAATAATAATAATAATAATAATAATAATAATAATAATAATAATAATAATAATAATAATAATAATAATAATAATAATAATAATAATAATAATAATAATAATAATAATAATAATAATAATAATAATAATAATAATAATAATAATAATAATAATAATAATAATAATAATAATAATAATAATAATAATAATAATAATAATAATAATAATAATAATAATAATAATAATAATAATAATAATAATAATAATAATAATAATAATAATAATAATAATAATAATAATAATAATAATAATAATAATAATAATAATAATAATAATAATAATAATAATAATAATAATAATAATAATAATAATAATAATAATAATAATAATAATAATAATAATAATAATAATAATAATAATAATAATAATAATAATAATAATAATAATAATAATAATAATAATAATAATAATAATAATAATAATAATAATAATAATAATAATAATAATAATAATAATAATAATAATAATAATAATAATAATAATAATAATAATAATAATAATAATAATAATAATAATAATAAGGGTCTCTAGTATAAATAGATGTAAAGTGGGAGTAATGAGGAGGCGGTTTTGGACTTTGTCTTTGGGATTTGGGAAGATTGAGATCATTCTCTCTCTTTTGGGGGGCTTCGGCTCATTGGGAGGCTTAGGCCTTGGTTACCGATACTATTCATCTTCTTCATCAATTCAGTTTTCCAGTTTGTTTCTTGATATTTCTGTATATTTTCTGGGGTTCCTATCATTGGTATCAGAGCAAGTTATTTCCTGGAGACCGAGAATCTGAATCATCTGAACCATGGCGGAGGATTTCTATGTGACGCCACAAATGGAAGAAAGAATTGAAAATCTGAATCGAAAGACCAAGGAGATGCAAGTTAATATGGCGACAAATATAGCTGCGATGGAAGCGGCGATGCAAGCTTGCTTCGCAGATTTGCAGAATCGACTTCAAAGTTGTTCGCAGAATCGATCGCACACTTCGCGTAGGTCGCATCGCGACTCTAATCATGGCCACACGCGAAAGTCAGCGAGACCAGAGGAATTAGAAGAGCGGAGGCATCGCAGACAACTTGGCGACCGAACGAGGAACAGTAAGCCTCATCCGCGATCGCAGACAGATTAGATTCGCGAACTGATTCTTCGCATCGCTCTTCTAGCTCTTTGCAGAGTTCTGATTATCACTCTTATCATCGCTCTTCGCATCAGAGTGTGCCATATTCGTCTAAAGTCAATTGTCGGAAGTCAGCTAGTTCAAAGACAGGAATTACCTCTATTCTATGAGGATGAAGCCTACGAATGGATAGAGAAGATGGAAAAATACTTCCGAGTTCAAGCTATTGCAGAAAAATTCAAAGTGGACGTGGCAGAAGAGGCTATGGGGGAAGCCGCATGTGGTTGGTTTAAATGGTGGTGGGAGTATCAAAAGAGGGAAGATAGTTGGGAGGCTCTAAAGGAAGACTTGATCAAGGATTTTCCACCTAGAAACCGGCAGAAGACAGGGATGGCAGCAAAACAGGAGTCATCGAGATCAAGAACTTCCTTCAGTTCGCAAAAGTCATCACAAACATCATCCTTCAGTGCGCAGGCTTCAATAGCTTCTACCAGTTTATTTAAGAAGAAATCCAGATGTGAAGTTTCCAGTTCGAAATCCGGAATTGTTCCTGTCAAACTGGCATCAACTTGTCTCAATCCACAAAAAGATTCAGAAGGAATGGAAAATGTGGAACCAGATTTAAACTTATCTCCAAAGGATGTTTTGATTGAAGAAGTAAGTCTTACTCTTGGACTAGAAGACATGACACACCCAGTGAAAAAGATTGATGTCAGGGGAGGGTGTAATTTTGAGGCTTCATCTGGAGAGATCAGAATAGCAGAATTCTTAAACGAGAAGACATTGGGAAAGTTGATGGAACAAAATATTGAAACCAAAGGGAAGGTGAAATTAATACTTAATTTGGAAATGGCCATGTCTTTGTTGGGTGATAGATCTGAATTCTTGCTAGGACATCAACCATGGAAATTTTACTTGGAAAATAACCTTTCTTGTTCCTTAGTTAAGAGAATTGCAGCTGGAAGAGTATATCTGTTTACTTGCAGGTTAAAGCCTTGTAGACCTTCTTTTTCAAAGGAGGTAGGTAAAGAATTAAAAGAGGAAGAAGTTGATAGGTACAAAAAGGAGTTTGCATCCAATACAATACTAATCTCAGAAGATAAAAACAAGGAGCTGCAGAATAGTAAAGAATTAATTCCTGCTATGAAAGGCTGGAAGAAGACTGAACCAAATGAAACTGTTACCTATGATGTTTTGATGTTGAATCCAAATTCTTTGTCTTCTGGCTTGAGTTCTTGGTCCTATTTTCGAAAAGGAAAGGCTACTTATTATTACTCAAGTGGTTGGAATGGTAAGACGGCATACCATGATGGTGGATATTGCTATGTGATGGTGGGCAGTGATCAATGTATCTCAAGAGTTTCATCTCTGAGTTGTTTTATCAAAAAAAGGTTGGGAGTAGGATTGACTGAGAGTGAAAGGGCAAAGATTAGAAGAATGCCAGGGGTCTGTTTAATTGCTCCAGATGGGGGTGGAATGGCTGACTACCGGTTTCAGTTGGCTACTATAGATGCTGCAACAAGGAGTGAAGCAACTGAATCTCAAAGATTTGAGTTATATCCTGCTATTAGCAAGAGGAAGAATAAGCAGGGGAGGATGGGTGAAGATCAGTACCAGCTGGAACAAAGACACAGGACTAATATTGAAGCTTGGAAGGAAGAGGAGCTATTGCTGTTAGCGCTAGAAGCAGTGAGAAGGAACATTCAAGTCATGAAGTTCAGGATCCTGAAATTTGAAAGATATTGGGAAGGGAGAGGAACAAGGAAGAGGAAGAGGAAGAAGAAGAGGAAGCAGAAGATTTTGGCTTTCTCCTATTACCCACCTTGAGGACAAGGTGCATGTTTAGGGGGGGAGTATTGATAGGGACCTACCTATTAGAATAATATTAGAAGTAATAATAATAATATTAGTAATAAGGGTCTCTAGTATAAATAGATGTAAAGTGGGAGTAATGAGGAGGCGGTTTTGGACTTTGTCTTTGGGATTTGGGAAGATTGAGATCATTCTCTCTCTTTTGGGGGGCTTCGGCTCATTGGGAGGCTTAGGCCTTGGTTACCGATACTATTCATCTTCTTCATCAATTCAGTTTTCCAGTTTGTTTCTTGATATTTCTGTATATTTTCTGAGGTTCCTATCAAATATTTGGTCATATACTCATATTTATATGGCTTAAAACCATTAATCATCTATACTTCACAAATTCAATATCAATCACACAATTCCATTTTTTCCTTAATTTTGTGCAACTTCCCCTTGTCCCAAATTTAATGGGAAGACGTAGACATGCATGTGACATATATATACCTCTAAAACTTCCTCACATAATTAACCCTTAGCCTTTAACTAGTTTATGCTCGGCTGTGCCCATACATAAATAAATATACATAAAAAGTTCTCTTAAAAGTCAATTTCATAATGAATATCACTTGTTTAGTTTTTGTAGTTGATGCACCACTAGATCAATTTTAGCAGCTGATGCGCCCATAATGCTGCATTGTGATTACAGAGGCAAACAAATTATCGAAGGGATAAAAACAAACTTACAATTTGTGTGTCTCCTTCAGTCATCACTCCCAACACTTCATGTGTCGTAGTATTGATCTTGCGAGAAACTGCAGCAACTTTGGTCCCAACCTGGATGAGTAGAGGCTATAGTGAGAAAACCTGAACCGAGCAAAAGGCTAAATTAATTTCTATAGCATTTAATAAAACATACATCATGAAGGAGGTTACTGTGTAGATGACACACAACAATGCCTGAAGATTGCTCAGATTGATAAATGCATCTTATAATATTCCAGAATAAAGATAACCACACAATGGTCTTGTAGAAACATTCTTACTTTCTTAGCAACAGCATGTAAGATGGTGTTAGTTTGCGCTGTTTAAAACTGATTCTGCTATTTTAGACACCAGTACTTAGAAGAACTGGTTTTGGGGGTGTTTGGTAAATTTTCTGGAAGTGATCCTGGTGTTCTGAAAGGACGAAACTGAAGTTTCATAAAAAGCTCACACCAAGACGTTGAAAAGTGATCTAATTATCTTTTTGTTTTAGTCATTTTGTTTAGGAATCACATCATATGAATAGTTCTACACTTCTACCAAACACTTCAGAACTAATCTCTTTTGCATACAGGTGGTACATCAGAATACTAGAATGAATGTAAAAATTCTTTGAACTAATTGAATTTCCTACAGCACAAATTCTTATTCTTTTTCTCAGAATCAAAATTTGAGCAATCCCTTTTCTAACCACCCCCTAAATGAATAACTGAGAGAGTGCTGGTGCAAAATACAGCTTAGTCACATAATTACAACAACATCTCCCCCCCCCCCTCACACACACTGACACACACACCACTCGCAACCACAAATACAAATTGTAGCAACAACACAACAACCCGAGTATAAAACTAGTTTGATAGCACATCTTAAAATCTTATACTACGTAATTGTCAATGAAGGTTAGGGTATTTTAGGAATGAAAAAAATGTTGGTGTAATATGTGGCTTTATGAGATGGTACAAGGTGTTTTATAATGTATACTCTTTTAAAAGAATTTATTTTCCCGTCTTACTTCCGTCTCATGACTCCAGTCCGTTCCATACTTCCATCTGCGTCAAGCAGCTTCAAACGACCTCTCGCTTCTTTAAGCTTCATATCACCAAAAGAAGTAGTTTCGAATAGTGCAGTAGTAACTTTTAGAAAATAAATCTAAGTAAAAAGAATGGTTCTTACTTCTTACGAGTGGCATACAAATTCTAAGTAGTCGCCTAAAATTACTACTCCCAAAAGGATTACTTAAAACAGCTCAACTGCAGCCATTACTAAGGCTTTACTTGCACTCATGATTTGATTTTTTTTAACTTTCCAAACAGATTAAAAGTATATTTTCTTTGTCATGCGATCATGGTGTTAAATATATTTTTCTCCTGGTAAATTTGTCTTATTCGTACCAATTACCAAAACGTTTGTCATGTTGATCTATTCTTGTTTCTTTACTAATCAAGTTAATATTGCATCTCCTATATGCTAAACTACGTTAAAGTGGTACAATTACTGTATTAGTTGCTCTAAAACTGTATGAGTAATCTCTAATGATTACATTCCCTGTACGCAATACATTTACCATATACGGAGTACTATTTTATGTCTTCAAAACACACTTTAAGCTCCCTGTACGCAGTGCATTTACCATATACTCTGTACTATTTTACGTCTTTAAAACAGGCTCTAAGAGTCTATCTATAACAACAGAATCTGTGTCTACAGAAAAACCGGAGCTCATTATTCCTCCATTTAGTACAAGCAGAAATGGGTTTTACTACTTTATTCTTCCCATTCCAAGTAGACCAACATTTCTAATGGTTATTAGTTTTAGATAAAAATATACAAATCTCATTGGACCAAGAAAAAATGGCCTGTGGGACGGGGATTATGTTCTTTCAAATAAGATAAGTTATGACCCTGCATTGATACTTATACATTCGGCTCCTTTCTAATTGATATCTATGCTTAATAGTTCAACACAAATAATGTAATTATTTACTAAATACGATAGTACATCGGACTAACATCCTTCCTTTTCATCTTGTGCGCAGGTCAATGGTTTTTTATGACCGGTTAATTCAACTAAAGCAATACATTATCAAACCTCTGGGTTCTCACTTAAGGCAAATGGAGACACTAAGTTCACAATTATTTGACTATTTTTTTTAAGTTGCATCCTTTTAATTTTCTTGCACTACATGGATTGCAAAAATATAACTACATATTTATGTTACCCAAATTACATTGGGCATTATCTAAATCGCGCATCGCGCGTTACAAAAAACTAGTTAATAACATAGGGTCCATCAAGTCGGTAGTTTCCAAAAGATGCAAAGTACATCAGAAGACTCAGTTAATCAAATTTCAGATATTGCTCATCAAAACTTTTGTAGAATTGTCAAACTTTCAGCCTTGCAGTGGCTCTTTTACCTCCTAAGTTCGACTCATCTACATCCCAAGAAAAAAATACTGCGTAGTTTTTTTCATGAATCAAAGAATTTGTATCCTTTCAATACTTCAACCTTCCTGTGGGGTTTTACATTCCTATCATTTAAAGATGATACCATTTATAAGACCTTGTTTTGAAATTGACCCATGCATTATTCTCCTCCCTACCACTAGATATAAGTATATAACTTATGGCCATACACTCTTAGAAAATATAACTTCTACTGACGAGTAAAATATGTCTTCAGAGCAAAAGAATGTTGACATCTGATGCCAATCATGGTTGTGAAGACGAACAATAAACTGAATCTCTTGCAAAGTACATAAATGTGAAAAAGAACTATTCTTGGTCATTGTCCAGAAATAGATAAACAGTCCAGATAATATTTGAAGTTGATCACAATAATAAAGTTGGACTACTCGAGGAAAAAAGAGAGTTTGAATTAGAGTTAGAAGGCATACAATGGAATTGGTAAGAGAAGATTTTCCAGCATTAGGAGCCCCAATAATCCCAACAGACAGAGATTTCTGATCCTCCTCCTTCACCAACCCCCCATCCTCCTGCGCCTCACCTTCCTTCACAACCCGCCTATTAACAGCCTCAAGGAGGTTCTTAGCAAGAGCAGCAGCTCTCCTCCTCTTCTCTTCTTCCTTCAGGAAAACTCTTGAAGTACTCACCTGGGGAATATCTTCCCCAAACAATCTCCTCCTTGCTTCATTCCTGTACTTCTCATCCCAAGTGGGCTGAGGGCCAACATTGGTCCCCAAATTATCTGTTGCATCCGAATCCAATGCATAATCCGAGCTATCGAAAACATCTGAAGAACAAAATCCGTCTTCTTCCGAGGAAGATGAAGAAGGTACTGCGGAGGCCGAGGAGTGGTCGGCTTCTTGAGGTTGGGCTGAGTAAATTCGACGGAAAACGTGTGAATTGAAACGGGATATGCAGGGCTTGTGTGATGCTGATAAGCTCAATACTTTCAAAACTTTGAAGGGTTTCATTTCAAACTTTAGTCAGAATCTTCTGAATTGCTAAGTGAGAATCTGAGGGTTTGGGGGATTGAAAGAGATAGATGAGCAGTAAGAAGGGCTTTCTTACTATCCTTTCAGGTTTTGAGGGGGTTTGCGAATTTTTCATGTCATAAATTTGTATGAGGGCACGTGGACAGTAAGCAATCAATAGGATGGCTGAATTTTTTATCCTTACGTGTCCAGGTGTCCTGTATATATCGGATCTCTATCCGTAATTTAATAAATGTATCGGGCTTATTTTTAAAAATATCGATACTTCTGATACTTGTATCCGTGAATTGATACACTTATCTGACCCTATAACCCTCATTTCATACATGACTTCGACAAAAATTTAGTAGTCGCCCAAGTAACGACAAGATGTGGAACATAGATAAAGATGATTGAGGAAGTATGAAAAATACTAGATACTATCATTTCTCATTTTATGGCTTGATGAGCTTTAACTGAAACAAGACTTAGATGTAATGCAAATAGAGAACAAAAAATAATATTTGAATTTAAATCGAAATATCAATACTTTAATTTTTTTAGCCTGGTTTTTGAAATTTTATTATAATAGTTAACTTTTGGGATAAGGCTCAAATTGGACATTATGGTTTTATCAGAATCTCATATTTGACACTAAGGTTTTAAATGGACCAAATTAGACACTATGGTTTCATACGTATCTCATATTGGACACTAAAGTTTCATAATTCAATATAAGTGAGTGTCCAATTTGATATTTATCCAATATAAGTGAGTGTCCAAAACCTATAAATTATGAAACTTTAGTGTCCAATATGAGATACATATGAAACCATAGTGTCTAATTTGATCCATTTGAAACCTTAATGTCAAATATGAGATTCTGATGAAACCATAGTGTCCAATTTGTTAACTTTTTATAGTGCGGGGTATTATTGTTATTTTATTTATGAACCTTTGAATTATATATATATTTTCAAATTATACCCTATACTTTTATTTTTATAAATATACCTCGTACATGTATCCTATAATTTTTAAATTGTCGTATCGTTATACCCGTATTCGCATATTGGCGTATCGACGTATCTGTATCCGTGCAACATATCTGTCACCAATACATAATCAGTGCAAAAATCACTAATCATACGGTATTAAGATTACATTAGTCGTTGGGTGTCATATATTTTTTGTCATTATTTCATGATTTTGAGTATGCTTTTCCATATTATCCTTAGAGCACATTCTTATTCTTTTATTCAGGGTGGGAAAAAAACAGAACTGCCTAGCGCCTGCCTAGGCAGGAGCGGATCCATTTGTAAATCAATGGAGGCACATGCCCCAGGGGCGGAGCTAGGGGAGGGCCAACCCTAACCCTGGTCCAGTCCAAATTTTTAAAATGTCTAAATTTTTTGTGTAAAAAATTCTGTGTAAAATTTTCCCCTCCAAAAATATTCTTTATATCGGCCCAGAGTGACTCAGTGCCCTGGCTCCGCCCTTGCATGCCCCCAATGGCTTTGTAGCTTTATTCAAATTTTATTATTTAATTTTAAACAAATGAGGAGGTGCCCCCAATTAAAATAAAAGATGCCCACGTTAATTTAAACACAATTCATTGTTGAACGGCACTCTTCATATTTGCTAGTCTTCAACTCCCACCTCATCATTTCAACCTATTATTTTAATAATTTAATTATGAATTAACAAGTCAAAATGAAAAATAATTTAGGGAGCAAAACAATTAGCTATCCTTGGCTGAGTATACAAAATGTTAATTCGTGAAAGGCTAAGATCATTCACTATAAATTTGCAATTAAAATTTTCTTCTATGTTTCAATAAAACACTTCTCCACTTCTTTATCTCTCAGATCTAGTTTTCCTATTTGTATCATCTTTTTTAGGGTTAATAAATTTCTACTACTCTTTGTTTTTACTAATTTGCTTCTTAGTTGCGATTTTAATTGCATATGTATAAATTAGTTCATTTCAATATCGATAGATTAGAATTTATATTTTCGAAATGAATAATGTCACATTTTATAAGGGTGCTAAATTTTTAATCGTAATAGACTTTTGTTGTGTAGTACACTTATTTCTTTTTAGTTAATAAATAGTTTAACTTTACTTTTAAGAAAATGCTTTTTACTTTGATATTCATAAGTGTAATTTTGAACGGAAATATATTTGGACAGATTAAACAACAATAATGAGAATACTTTGAAAGAAAAATGTCACCTTCATCAGAAATGGAGGTGTTGAAAAATGGCGACTAGGCGAGTGTTAAAGTGTTAATGTATCAAATAGTATATCTTCACAAAACAATGTTTATTTTGAATTAATTACTAAAAATGTTTATAATCAATTGATTTGTACTTGTCCGTTATTTAAACAAAATTGATTTGATCAATGCGAGAGGTTGGTTGGAATCTAATGTAAGAGATGACAAAGCATTCTGTTTGCGTCTTATTTGTTATGTTACGTTGAAAAAGGAGTAAATGACGAAACAGAGCAGATTTGTAGCAGGTGTTTCCAAATAGGACAGATCCCATTTTTTGACGAAAAAAATGCAAAAAAGAGTTGGGTACTCCGAAATTAAAAAGTGGTCAAAAAAGCTTTACTGATTTCGGAGTTGGCAAACCCGAAATCAGTTGCGTCAGACTTTATCGGTTTCGGAGTTTCCAAATCCGAATGCAGAGATAAGATTTCGGGCTGCGTGATTAGTCCTCGGGATAGTTTTGTTGTTATAAATTCACCTTCCTACCTGCCTCCTCCCATACCTTCAACTCTCCTCTCAACCCATCTATTGAAAGGTTAGTGACTTATTCCTCCTCCTCCTTATTCATTATTATTATTATTATTATTATTATTATTATTATTATTAGTAGTAGTAGTAGTATTTATAATTAGATAAAATTTGTATTATTAATGTGTGCATATATTAATTTATGACTTGAAATATTATGGAGTAAATTTTACGTAGGTAATGTAGTAATATTTTTTTATTATTATATTAGTAGTAATAATTGTAGAAAAAAGATTTAATATTTCTATAAAAGTAGGTGAATAGAAAAAATGACATACTACGTCAGATAAAAAATACACTTTATCAGATAAAAATATTCCCGATAAGATAAAATATCTCGGAATACGCCCTCATCCACTCCACACCTAACCTCATTATTTCCAACCACCCCAATAATGTCTCTGGTCAGAGAAAAAATACACTTTATCAGATAAAAATATTCCCAGTCAGATAAAATATCTCGGAATTCGCCCTCATCCACTGCACACCTAACCTCATTATTTCCAACCACCCCAATAATGCCTCCGGTCAGATAAAAAAATACACTTTATCAGATAAAAATTTACCCAGTCAGATAAAATTTCTCGGAATACGCACTCATCCACTGCACACCTAACCTCATTATTTCCAACCACCCCAATAATGCCTCCGGTCAGATAAAAAAATACACTTTATCAGATAAAAATTTACCCGGTCAGATAAAATTTCTCGGAATACGCACTCAGTAATATACTAAATTGCACCAAATTCGGGGTACTAAAGTAGGTGAATAGAAAAAATGACATACTAGGTATTAGTTAATGGTCTAAGAAATTACTACGGAGTATTTGTTATGTAGTACTCTGTACTAGTTAATCCTTCCTTATCAAAATAAGTGTCTTACTTCCATTTTAGATGTATGAATTACTACATATTTACTAATTATAGTTAAGACTTTGTATTAGATGTAGACGCAATATTTGTGAATATTTAGTATAATGCATTGTTATTTATTGTTGTTCTTGCCAATATTATAAATTATGGGATTGTAGAAATTAGTATATGTGGAACAAATTCATAAGTTGTTAAAAAATATATAAAATGTTTATGAAATTCATAAGTTGTATTGGTAAATATATAATTCATATTAATATTTACGTAGTTATAAAATAATAGTGGACACATCAAAATATAATGTTAGTTTTACTGTTAAACTACGCAATATTATTGAACACATTTAATGAATGACTTAAAAACATTAAAAAAAAATTAGTTTATGTTTGGTTGTTAATTGTAGGTTTATAATTGTCTTCCGGTGGTGTCAATTGATGGAACTCACTTGTATGGCAAGTACAAGGGTCATCTTCTAGTCACGGTGGCAATGAATGCAAACCGTGAAATCTACCCACTAGCATTTGGAGTGGTAGATAGTGAGAATGGTGCTAGTTGGACGTGGTTCTTACAATTGCTTGTGACACATATCATACCCCCTGCTCGAAATTGTTGCATCATCTCTGATAGGCATGCGGCTATAGATTATGCATTTCGAAATGTGGAACAATTGAGAACACCTCAAATTCAGAGACGTTATTGTCTTCGCCACATTAGAAGCAATTTCATGTCCCAATTTAGAAGTAAACAACTAAAGAAGTTGTGTTGGCGAGCGGGGAGTACCCCGATTGTAAGTGAATTTCATCATTACATGCAACAAATTCGGGGTACTAACGAGAGAGCATTCAAGTATTTAAATGGCATTCCCCAAGAAAAATGGGCACTTTGTTTTGATAGTGGTTGTCGTTATGGTATTTTAACGACAAACCTTTCAGAAAGTTTCAACAATGCTCTCAAAGGATGTAGGACATTGCCAATCAGTGCCCTTGTACGAGCGACTTTTGACAAGCTAGTCCAGCTCTTCGCCCAACGTCGCACTGCTGGTATGATGTGGCAGCAAGCGGGATATCATTTCCCGGACAACATTCGGAAAGAGCTTATGGAGCGTTGGCAACAAAGACCTCACACTGTGGTTCTTCCACACAACCATTACACAGGAATTTACTCGGTCTCTGTAGAAAATGAAACACCTGTTACAGTGAATCTATATAGACGCGTCTGTGATTGCGGTTGTTGGAGGATGAACGGAATGCCATGCGTCCATGCACATTCTGTGTGCCACTATCTTAGCTGCCCTGTTAATAATCTTATTCCTGAGGTATACAAATTGAGTTCTTACATAAATGCACATTCCAGTGATATCATGCCATTTCCGAATATGAATGAGTGGCCACAAAATGAGTTCATTCTTCTACCGCCTAAGTACTCTTCCAGAACTTCTCGAGCTGGGCGCCGTCAAGAAACAAGATTTCCAAATGAGATGGATATGCGTCCAAGACGGAGAGGAGGACAACATGATTGATTTGTATTTGTACTCTTATAATGTAATCTTTTTTTGTACTTTGTTTTAATGTTATAAAATATTTATTAGCCATATGTTTTATATGTACCTTTAATATGACTTATTGTGCAATGAACTTTGTTTAATTTTGAATTCATATGACTTTATGGGTCACTTATAAATTAATCGTGTTATATTGTAAACTGTATTTGTATTTACTTTGGACTTCATAACACTGAATGGGTCAACTATTATTAAAAAGTGTGGAATTGATTTAATATGTTGGTAATTTTAATCAATAAAATTTGTACTTGTAAATATATTAACATGTTCATACTTGTATTCATCTTTTCCGGGTTCACATTATTAATGGGTACGGTTTTATAATTTGAATTAGGTTCAAAAAATTATTTTGTTAATGTAAATGTAACTAATTTTTTACTATTTGTGCTCAAAACATTTAATGGGTCACTTTTGTAAAACATGTGCTAATTTATTTTAATGGGTCAATTTTTTGTAAAACGCATATTTTGATCTAAATCGGGAATAGACACAAATTCAACTTAAATTACAAATATTGTATGATTTTTAATTACGTTGAACAAAATACAATTTTTAACCACAATTATAAAACAAACTTCAAAACACAAAAATGAAAACAACATTTGGGATAATGCAGCCCCAATAATCATAAACAACATTTGGGATAATGCAGGCCCAATAATCCGTATTAAAGGCAACAAAAAAGATACAAAAAAATATACTTTACTAATTCGGAGTTGCCAACTCCGAAATGAGCTTTATACGAATTTGGCAGCTTCCAATTTACTGCACAACCTGATTTCGGACCTGCCAACTCCGTTTTGCACTATCTCAGAAAACCCCAAAAAAATTGCACTTTTTGGAATGTAAGGTAAGAAATCTGCTCTGTTTCGTCAAACACCCTTGAAAAAGATGTGTTTGATACGGTTAGCCACGAAGTTGTGGTCAATCGTTTTTAAAAAAACTCGTAGAAAACCGTAATAATAAAATGTAATGCTTCATAGTGTGATAATGTTGGATTCTTTCATCATTTCAACTTAATTATTAAATTATTTAAAAAAAATCTAAATAGGTGCCCCCAATCCCTGAACATTCTGGATCCGCCCCTGTGCCTAGCCACTTAGACGCTAGGCTAGTATCTCACTAGCGCCTAATGCCTTTTAGAATATTGATTATTGTGACTATTTGTTGTTGCTTTTTAGTCATTACTATTGATTACAAAAAAAAAATTCATACGTAATAATTTAGTAGCCACCACTGACTTGTAGATTTATACAACCTACTTTATGACTATTTAGTTATTAAATACCTGACTGTTGTATTTAGTTATAGCAATAATAATTAATACTTATACTAGTACTTTTTAGAACTCTTCCAATCGAATAATCTTATTAGATATATTACTACATCCGTCTCACTATAATTGTCTCATTTTTCTTTTTTCGTTCATCCCACTAAATTTGTCTCATATCATATTCGATAATATTTGTGTGGCTCTAATTTATTTTTACTTTATTTCTACTTTATCAATTCATTATCAACCGCATAACTCTACTTTTCTTTAAAACAGTGTTACTCTCCTTTGTCCCAGGGATAATATTACTTAATCTATTTTTAAACAATTAACTAAGGTTTTAAATATAAAAAACCGAACTGGATTGGAACCATCATCATCTATTTTGGTATCCTTGTGCAATTTCGACTCCGATTCTCCGAAATTTCAAAGTGGGAACAAGCCATTCCAACTTCCCAGCGGTTCAGTTCTGATTCTAGTTGAGTTTGGAATCAAGGACTCCCCAATTCTTAAAACTAGAGTGTGTAGTATTTTTGTTCAAGATTTATTCATGTCAATTTTTTTTATGTTTTCCATTATTTTTTGTCCAAGTACTTGGTATGGCAACTTTTTTACAGAGTAACATGTTTATGCCTTGCTTTTACATGTCATTTAATTTTTGTGGATGCGCATAAAAGATTAAAGAACTGGGACTTTTTGGTTAATTATACCAAAATTATAAAATTATACTGTACCTCGACCAGAAAAGAAAATATATTATTGGTATGCTAATGATTTTCATATTTAACTCCCAGACTTGAATAAATAAATAAAAACATATACTATGTATAAATCGAAAAATATGCTTTTAGAGATTATATCACCAAACGGGTTCAGAACAAAACAATTAACCAGGTAGAACGATTAATGATTTCCAGTATCTAAAATGAGGAGAACTTGAGTTCAGTATCACATGATTCTTCTCTAATCCTACCAAAAGTAATCCTTTTTAAATGCTTTGTAACATGCTACAAATGGAATTGGATATCCGGGATGTGAAATCCTCATCCGCAGCAATGATGATGGTTTTATCTTCTGCAATTTCAATCAATGCTTCATTCTGCTCTTCTGAGACTTTTAACAAAGTAGTAGTAGTAGTGTTAGCCGTATTAGTAGCTGTGTTGATTCCCATCTTTTGCAAAGCGGCCACAAGTGACTCCGGGTTGATTCTTCCCCAACAAACCAATGGTCTACGTTGTGAAGAAGACGCTGTTCTATCACTTCCAAAGCCCAACCGATACCTGCCACCCTCCAAGAACAACTCCCCCTTTAGCCTTGCCATTTCCTTATCGCCTTCTTGCATAGGCTGTGCGTAACAGAGGAGCTGTGAAGCCAGGTCTACATCAATGCACAATTCTGAACCCTGCTGCTTTGACTTGGGTACTACAAGTGTCTCGTTTTCAGAGAAATAGCTAACGGAATAAGAGTGGCCCAAATGGCTAAAATGTGGCCTCATATCTTCCGGAAGCTGGATTAAACAGCAAAACAAATGTTTGGAGAGATCAAGGATTAAAGAGCCATCAGAATATTCTATCAGATCATAGTGTGTGTGTGTGTGTGTGTTGGTGTATCGCGGGATTACCAGAACATGCTTTGGTTGCAGTGTTTTCAGCAGATATGGAGCTTTCTTTAGGCTACAAAGGTACAAGCACCGGTTAGGATACACCAACTGGAAGAGCTTATATAAAGCTTGATAATTAAAGAAACGTGTTTAAATCTTCAATAGAGAGAGAGAAATACCTTACTTTATTCCAGATAGAAATGAGCATTTTAGGACTTTCATTTCCATTGGCTTGAAAGGCAAAACAGCCAAATCAATATCAACTCCTTCCTGGAAAACAGTTAAAAAAACTCGTGCAATTAGTCAAAAATTCCACAGCAAAGTTGTAGCAATATAGAAATTATTTAGGAAATTTGGCAGCAATATTACTTCTAGGTTTTGTAAAGACAAAAATATAACCAGTTTTCATTTTCTAAAAAAGTGGCTAAATATTATCACAAGTTCAAAACTTAAAATCTATCCCAATTTCTCTTCCCCAAATCCTCCGCCCAGCTGCTGATTGGAGAAAAAAATCCAAAAAACCTACGAAAAGTTAACGGATTTGCCTCAGCTGATCACAATGACATGTGGGATGGTATCACTACCGCTGGCAGCATGTCATAGGTTTCACTTGCAGCAACATATAGGCGCTTTCTTTTTTAATTTTAAGAAACTAGTCATATTTTTGTTTTTGTCTTTTCCTTTAGGCATATACATGCAAAAACTCTTATTATGTACTCCGTAATAACTTGTAGACAAGAACTGACCTCCATAACAAGTAAAGAATCCGAATTTGTACACCAGCGGCGAAGTAAATGAACAACAGGTCCCAATCGCAGACTCCAATGTGGACAAAATATTACACACGGTTCCTGCCAAATTTTTCTATGCACAAAACTAAGTCATGATAAGGTTGATACTTGATACATGAAAAATTTACTGACAAATTACCAACAGATATGAACTATATAATACAGAGACATATTTCCCCATATATTCTTATGCTAATTATATAAGTCAATGTTATCCACTAAAGAGGAAGGATTCATCTTACAGTAATTTGGAAGAATGAATTTCAGGAAACACATGCAGCCTTTTGGAATTCAGCAGCTCAACATGAGAAAATAGAGGTTGACCAGCATATAACTGCAAAATACATGAAAATTTAGACTCAAGTCATATTCCCTTATAACAAGATTTTAAGCCATACTTAATATATAAAAAAAACAGCATGCATCATACCTTGTCCTGTTTACGCTTGCACAGCCATTCTGGTATAACATTAGAAAAGGCCAATAACTCTTTAGCTACAGAAGAAACAAAAAACATGGGAACCTATAGACAAAAACTATATATTAATTTAGAACTAATTAGATATATAATATACTCAAGGAAGCAAGATATTTGCATTTACTGTAGCACGAAAGCAATATTACAAAATAAGGAACTTTAAGCACAGATTCTCTTGAAAGAAGGGTTAGTGGCCTAATTAATAAAGGTTATTTCCTAGAGAAGTTTATTTCGGGGTGTTAAACAGGAACTTACAATATCAATGGTACAGTTAAATTCATCGTGCAGTTTGCATCTCATCATATAAAAGAAAGAATGTTACAAGGTCCAGAGAAGCATTGAAATGATAAAGTACAACAGCTCTCCTACTAGCCCTAAAATTTGTTATACATGATTATACAATTATACATCAAACAAAATGATAGAATTAAAAAATAAGCTCATCTCTTATGGATATACCTTCAAATTTGAAGACTCTAAAGAAAGCCCCACATTCTCCAGCAGCTGCAACATGATACCCGGGCGTCCAATGGGGATAAGCACTGATCCTCCGGCATTAACAGAGTCCAAAACGCATGAACAAAGAAAATTCATTTTTTCCGTCTCTTCATTGTACTCACTAGGATCAAGCAAATACTTTTCTGTGTCTTCCATGAACATGTCACTGCCACTGGATGAGTTTTCGCAGATATTAAAAGAGACAATTATGGCTCTCCTAGTAAATATTAGAGCGTAGAAAGAGCGTATCGGTGTGAGGGAAAAATAAAAGAAAAAATTTAATATATTCCTTCCATTTTATTTGTCCACTTTATCCAAATAGCACATATTAAAAGAATCACAATAAAATTATAAATTGGTTACAGCTTATCTTATCATGCCAATAAAAACGTTACTGAGTAAAAGTCTTAAGGGTAAAATTGGTATGAAATGATGAATATACCATATACTTTTTTCTAAATGGATAGATAAAAATGGGACACAAACTCTCAAAAGGTTGGATTGCACACACAAACACACACACATACACACAAACGTGTGCATACAAACTGTGATACCTTGGATAGGAGGAATCGTTCTTAGCTGGAGAGGAGACACAGTTGTCACCATCCACATTGTCAATATCTGAAGGTGCATAGCCAGAGTATAACAACACATCACTTTTCTGAAGTGAAATGTAATCAAAACTCATTGCAGTTTCTGAAGAAAAAATAGATCCTGAAAGATATGTGATGCTTCCTTTTGGGCTGACGATGGTCCAATTACAAGCACCAACTTCTACACCAGAACTGAATGCTTTTAAGGTTAAGGTTCCATTGTAGCAGGATTCTTCAGCGTATTTAAGACAATGAACCTTGTCTATGCAACTCTTGACTTCAGCCGCACTAAAAAGGTCTACAGTTTAGATTCTCAAGCATAAACACCAGCAATTTCAACAAATGAATAAAAGTGTAATTAGACATAGAAAGCTGATTAATTGGGCATTTGGTTTGGTTTGAAGATTTATGGCAAGTATTTTAGATTATTCAAAAAAAGTTTTTGGCATTAAAATATTATTACAAGCATGAAAGACTTGAATGAAATGACTAAAAATTGATACACTATGTAAAATGATATTACTACAACTCTACAAGTCCCAATCGAACCACTTCAAATAGCAACGAAGAGAGGTGAAGAATATACTCCATGGGTTCTAAAATTTTCTTCTCATTTTGGTTTGGCATGCTTATTTTATGAAAGTAAATCAAATGGTTGTGTTTGATCTAACAGGCAGAGAGGGAAACAATGGCAACCAAAAAAAATCCTTTAAATAGGAAGAATATTTTGGAACATAACTTAAAGGGAAAGGAAATAATGGGAGGGATGGAGTACATAACTTTTAAATTAATTAAAGGACTTACTATTACCTGTACAATTGCATCCACCCAGCAAGACCTGTTGCATGCTTGCCCAAAACAAACTCCTTTAGTTCTAAGGGAAGCAACTCAAGTTTTTCCCAATTCATCAACTCTGGGAAACAAGCCTCTTCGACCCCATAGAATTGTCTCATCTCCATATGGATAGCAACAAGGTCCTGCATTATTAGTTGACCAAGTCTAGCAGCAGCTTCTGTTGCATAAATCTGAATACACAACAACACCAAATAGGCAAATAATTCTTTTTTAACCATTGAGCATTGGCCATAGGGATAACGGACAATTTAACTGCATTAGAAGTTCAATTTCCACTTACCTTTGCAGAAAAGTCTTTTTCACGAGTGAGATATGGTAGCCCAAGTAAGCCCATTGGACTTGTGATCAACACAACATCTATGAAGGATTTATTTATAAGGTTTAGCCTTTCAACAGTTTTATACCACGGTTCTGCATGTATTAAACTTGTGCCATCACTCAAGAAAGCTGGATCAGTTGGCAGTGGAGAGAAAATTGAAAGAGATGAAAGGTCCAAAGGGCAATCAAATAACACCTGGAAGCCACCAACATTGAGAAAGTGGCATGGAGGGAAATGATAACCCTGACCCTTGCTCAAACATGTCTGCACACAGATGGAGGGCACAATAAGATTAACTATATGCCTGACAGAAACTTCAAAAATAATGCTTGAGAGTGGAGAGAGTGAGAGACTTACAAACTTCATAATGCTTAGGCTCAATCAATTAAGTGTTACACTTTAACTCTGCTCACGCTGAAATGGATCAATTCTAATATTTGCTTTTCTCAACCTGATCAGATTTTTAAAAGGAATGAGAACACGAATTAAAAAAACAATTATAGTGAGCACTAAATTCTCATTTGGGAAGGCTTTGTTAAGAGAGCTATTACAAAGTTCTCTGTAAAATTCTAGAGGAACGCTCTACAAGGTAATTGTCATTCTATAAAAAATTATGACTGCACTACAAAACACCTCCAAAACTTTGCACTATGGTTAATCAAGAGACAAGACTCACCTTTTCATGGGCATTCTTTCAGACTAACTCCAAGGGAGGCTTCGCTGAACCTGTGTTAAAAAAAATTACTTAAATGACTTGATCACATCCCTGAAATATTGCAGAACTGTAGAGAGAAATATTTTATTGATAACTAAAATGAATAATAAAAACAACAAAATGTGAGTTAACTCATCATATGCAATAGTCATTTATTTGAGGCTGTTTTTTTTGTAGAACTAGGCACAGAAAATGTTCAGCCCTTTAGTTCAGTTTAATTCCAAATTTATAGCTACACTTGTAGAGCTCCACAAACCTCAATTGATTTGGAGAAGATGTAGCCCATATATGATATAACTCCTCTCAAAATTTATTACCACCTTCTGCTTCGAGTTCTTATTTTAAGATACGCAGAGAGAGAAAATATATATATATATATAATCAACCAACCAGGCAAGCATCAATGTTTTGGAAAAAGTGAAGCTAAAGTTCAAACCACATTATTCTTTATATGAAAACTGTATATTCTGTCATAGAATACACAGGTAAAGACTGCAGACTGGTTCTTTTAAGAACCCAGAAAAATAAAAGCTAGTCTTACCCAATGACGTATTTTTCAAGGAGAGAACTTCACTATAACTTTGTCACATGTTTCACAAATAGCAGGTCACATTATCAGGGGCATAGCCAGGACAGATGTTAGGGGGGCCGACTATAAACTAAAAACACTATATAAAAAATTTAAAAGCGTACATAGTGTGAACATAATGATTAAAATCCATTAAAATTCATAATAATATTTTTAAACAGTACAGACAATATTTGAAACTAAAATGTTAACTGAACACGACATTCTTTGACCTTATCAAACTCATCTATGACACTCAACATCGATTTTGTTGGCAAATTCTTTTTCAATAAAGATGGTCAAACGATCGGCAAGAAATTCATCATTCATCTTGTTACGAGTTTCACTCTTCACGTGTTTCATTGCAGAACACGATCTTTATGTTGTTGCAGTAGAAACAAGTTAAGTCAAACAAGATGAATTAATTTTGTAACCATTTTGAAGTGTTCTGTCTTTCTAGATTTGACCAACTCTTCACTCAACTTCGCAAGAGAATGAACTTGAAACTGAGAATTTTGAACTACGTGAGGTTCATAAAATTGCAAATCAATCTTATCTTTGTGTTCTCGGCCTTTGTAAACGTTCAGTTTCGGTTGATAAGGTCCAAGCATCAAATAAGATCGTCTAATTGCATCTCTTTTCTCTTAACGCCCAATCACTTATCTTTTTCCGCTTTTCCTGATCCTGCTCAACTACAACTGCATCATAAACTACTTTCTCTATAGCGGATGAGATATTCGGAGTTTCCATTGAGACATTTAACTCTTGTCTATTTTGTGTACTTGTACTAGGCAGTCTAGGCTTATAAAACGAGCGCAATGTCATTTTTACCTTTTTGTAAATAGATTGAGTAGCCATACCTACTAAAATTAGCAAAAATATATAAAACTAATCAACATTTTATTTTAATTCACACTAGCATCGTACCCGTGCGATGCACGGGATAAAAAAACTTTATTTTTATTTATGACGTAATGTAAAAAAAATTATTTAAAATAATGTCTAGAAAAATATGATTCTATTAGTGACTAAAGTAGTAATGAAATCATAGTAACTTATATTCAGTTTTTAAACGTAAGTTACCATGACACTATTTTGTAGTAATTATTGTTCGTATATGTGTAATATTAATGTAAGAATGTAAACCACATTTATTATAAGAACATTGAAATACTTGTATGATAAAATGGAAAGAAACATTTAAAAGTGTGTAGTAAGTGCATACATAAAGCAAATAAATGTACTTCTTCTGTCCCATAAAATCCTTTCGTCATTTTGGGATATCTCAAAAATTCTTCTCACTTACATTTTTGAACAGTTTTGTGTGACTAACATTCATTTACCTTTTTTTTACTTAACTACAATTGTACATTTCCACTTCATTCTCACTTTCTTAATAATCTTGCCAAGTCAAAATGAGAATTATTTTTTGGGAGAGGGAGTATATTATAGAGCAAATTGCAATTTTTTAAAAACTTCCAGTTACATAAAATTTATTGTGGAATTATTTGAGATACCATCATTATTGCTTATCTTTTAATCATTCACACTTGGTAGCAATTGATCGCAACAAAATACGGAGTATATGATTTTTTCAAGAATAACTAATCATAACTCATTAGATACTGCTGTAAGATTATTTTTTTTGCGTTGAAACCTAAAAAGTATTCTAACCTACTATTCTAACAAATAGTACTCCGTAGTAGTTTATGACAACAACAAAAAACAAATAGTTCTCCGCAGTATTTTTTGCTGAAATGTCACTAATTTTGCAGATAATTTGTTTTGATCATTTTGTAGGTCACTTGTTTGAAAATTAAGTAATATTTCAAAAAAAATCAAATTGAGTAAAAAAAAAATGCATTTTCGAGTTTACCTTCATCACGATCATTCTGCCAGTTGTTTCCAATAATCTTATTCCCAGGCCCCAGCAAAAATGATTGTATTGTGAGATATACTTTAACTTGGTATTTCTTTTTACATTGCAGGTCTGATTAACCAAAATTGTTTATACTTTGTAATTATTATATGTAAAATTCATAGGTTCGGGCACCTCAATAATTAAAGTGCCTGATTGGGTAATATTCATAAGTGAAATGTAATCCTTAGTTAATTTAGAATAGGGTTATAGGGTTGAGAATAGGGAATGCAGGGTCCTATGTTTTCAGAGCTAAAAACCCACGTATGATCATCATTTCATTTCATTTTCATTTACCCCAATGCCGCAAAGGCTCCCACCTACGGTGGGGTAAGGGGGTCGGATGTACGCAGTCTTACCCCTTAATTTAACCCAGGTATGATCATCCTCGCCTTAATTTATATACTCCGTAGTTATTTCATATCTCTTACCTTTCACATTAAATAGTGTCGGGTAGAAGATTTCCTTAAAACGAACTTGCTCAACTTCTAATGTTTCAACTCAATCTGCATATTTTTTTATATATTAATATTTTTAATTATATATTCTAATTTCTACTCCATAAGAATAGCTTAGTTATAGACACAAGTAGGGGAAATTTCCTAAAGGGTTACTTTTGGAATTTCATCATCCGTAAAAGTCTCTTTGGCTCCAGTAGGCCATCCTTATCGTGGGCATGACTGAACTACTGAAGTAAGATCAATTGTTTATCTTTTTCATTTCCCATAGGCCATAGTTAGATCACAAATACTTTCCATGTCCTAAAACGTTAATTATGGTAAATTGAACATTATGTGTGATAGATGCAAAACAACAATCGTTCTACTATAATCCCAAAAAGCAGTAAAGTGTACCTCATAATCATTCCAAATAGTTTGTATAATTCTTGTTGAACGCTAGCAAATCATAAGAACGGATAAGCCTCGTTCTCAGTCCTCTGCTTTTCTTGAATGAGGCTGAGCTCAAAGATTTCGTTGAAGAACATGTTCCTGTTGTAGTGGAAACTCTGGAAGACTGGAAACAAAACAATTCCTTTTTATTAGAACCCCAATTAATAAATTGTAGAAGCGAATGAGTAAAATCGATAGAAATAGAATTTGGATAGAAATCACTTTCACAGTTGCTACGTACGACTTATGATCGGGCATGGATGTATCATTAGATTCTGAAGTTGCTGTTATTTATATCACCTCAGGAAGCGGTTATCTAACATTGAGTGGGCTAGAACGTGGAAATGTGATTTCCAGAACTCTCAATGGAACTGTTTTGTTAATTCCAGTCGGCCACCTGTCATAGAAACTGTATTTAAGATTTTAAGCATGTGATACGTGATTGGACCCTATATTATAGGCACATTTTATACAATGATGTGGCTGACACTATTACAGGCGGGAACAGTTATCTCACTTATATGCCATACGATCCCCTTTTTATATATATAAAGATAATTCATATTAATATTTCAAAAAATTCACAAATCACATTTGGCATTCCTAATTTTCAATTTCACAATTCAAAACACACAAATGAATTAAATAACACACTAAGGGTATGCATGCAAACAATTAAAAAAAGTGATTTTCAGTTTTTGTCTTAAAAAAGCCGAAATGAGTGTTTTCAACCAACAACTTCTTCTTAAATTAAATACTTAAAAGCTAAAAAACTACAAAGTGCTTTTTACTTTTTATATAACACAAAAAACATTTGTTAAAAAAAATAACAAAAAAAGCACATATTTTACCAAACACTACCGATTTTTACTTTTTAAAATCATTTTTTTCTAAAAGGCTACCAACTTTATTTATTAAATACTTTCTTCAAAATCACTATAAAAATTATTTTTAAAAAAAATAGAAGCAATCGCAAACCCTTCCTAACTCACTAACACAATTACACAAACTAACACAAACTAAAATCACAAATAAAATAACAAATAGCACATATGAATTAAATGAATTAAAGTAACATTTTTCACTAACACACTAAGTCGCTAAACAACTTAAATACAATTAAAATAAAAATTGTAAAAAGAAAACAGAAAAGCTTACCAGAGTCGAGACTCCTGAGAAGCTGCGCAGCAGAGCAGGCGATCAGGAGAAGCAGAAGGGGAGGTGTGGACTCCAGCGATGCAAGCGGAGGAGCGGGCGAGCTGCGAGCGGACCTGCGGCGTAAGAAAATAAAAATTAAACGAATATAAACAAGATAACCAAGTCCAAAGATAACCAGTTCATTACCTACTTCAACACCTTCGTAAAAATTAAAAAACTAGAAAAGATAAATAAAACTCCAAAGATATAAACAAGATAACCAAGTCCTACACATCTTATAATATGATTAACATACATATTAAGATTTCACAGTGAATCATATTATGAATCTAAAAATTACACGGAGTATTAACTAAAGAAGTTCCAAAGAATAGGATAGCAAAGAGAAAGGGGTGTTGAGACTGGGAGATGAAGATGAACCGATTCATAATTGTTTAGGGAATGTGCTGGGTTTGCTGATAAACGAATATAAATTCATTGGGTTGGATGGATTGTGTATCGGAATGAAGTAGTGTGCTTTTTAAATGGACGAAATTGAAATTCTTAAATTATTATATATTGCATGAGTTTTCTAATAAAACTGAAATAGCCTTTTTTCACTCTTCTTCTTCTATAATACGGAGTATAGAGAATGACATTTTCCAAAGTGAAAACACACAAAAGTAGAAAAGAGTTGGTGATAATATTTCAAATGTGGCTTCTTTGACATATAGTAGTACTATCACATTTATTTGACAATATGATTGCACACAAGATATTTAACTCAGGTTAGTTTTTAAAATTACATTTTAAATTCCCGAGTCACTATATCAATTTTATAATTATAACTTTTTAAAATCAAATTTCTTCATTATTGCTTTTAATGCAGGGAATATGTTTCCTATAGCAATGATGCATAATAACAAGTTGAGGGTGCTTCTGATAATCAGGACTTTCAATGTTCAAAATACGACTATGAATTTCCACTTCAAGGCCTCTAAATGTAATTTTGTAGAAGATGATGAAGAATGTTGGTGTTATCCATATCAATGCAGCAAAAATGTGTTTAATACATCTGTCTAGAGATTTAATAATCAAAGTTATTTTTCCCTCGATATAATGATGATAATTCTGATAAGTATAAATATGATGTATATTGTATACATTTCAAAGAATATTATCAGAGATGGTCATGTCTGTTTGGTTTAGGATCACAATTGCAAAATAAATAAATAAATAAATAAATAAAGAACATAAACTAAAAAATTTAATTAAATTTATGCCCTGAAATTAATTAAATTTATAAAAATAATAAAATTTCAAAGATCTATTATAGCTATATAATGATATAAAATTTTAAAAAGTTGTGATATGTAAATGGAAACAGATAAGCGTAGCAGAATGAGCGTACCTATACATCCTGAGAATTGATAAACGTAATTACATAGTCTATCACTCAAGCTATCACTGATTTACTGAGGCATTAGCGATGAATCGTCTATGAGTCTGCAATTTGTAGTAACAATTTTCGGTCTTTAAGGAGTGACTGCTTGATTGAGTCTTCCCTTTGTCGGTGGTGAGGCATGTGACGTACTGGTGACTCCGTTAGGGATGACACGTGAGTCTGCAGTCGGTCCGACTAACACTTGGGGTTGAGTAATCTGTTAGGCACTCGCCCGCTTCGCAATTCACGCATCGCAAGTCCCAACTCCAAAGCGATCAAGCAGTATGTGAGCATATTCACAAGGTCGGTGTTGGAAGAGTCCACACTTATAACTTGGAGAAAGGTCTAGATAAAAAAAAACAGCCTACAAATGTTGGTCCTAAAATTTTGGAAAAATTTCTGAAATAAAAGTAATTATTGTCAAATTTGGAAAATGCATGCATTTTTAAAATTTGATATTACTAAAACATTATTGTAATTATTCATATTTAGAAAAAAAAATGATATTTCTTTTTTGAAATACACAACTTATTTCATCATATTTATGACAATTTCCCTAAAATTTTCTCTTTTTCTGGGTTGAGATGCCCATGAATATAACAGTTTGAATATTTATATGGAGTAATATAAGTTTTTTTTGAAGAAATTTAAGTCATTTTTAAAATGAACCATTTGTAAAGTATAAGAAGAAAAACACCCAACATTCTTTATGCATTGCACGAAAACATACTTGCATTACAAAGTTCAATTGTTCAAAAAATACTCGTTCACTATAATATTTTGGGTTACAAATCTTAAAAAATTGTAAATGATAACATCATTAATTTCCATTTCAAAAGATTGAACCGATATGTTTTATTTTGTTATAATTGTTCCTTTTTTTGTTACTTTTTAATTATTCTTGGGAGCATGATATTTTTATGACATTAACATTTTATTTTAATGAAATGTTTTTGTTGAGTACTCTTTTAAATTATTCATTGTGATTTGTATTTAAACTAAATATTATACCCGTGCATCGCACGAGTGGAATACTAGTGCTTGATAAAAAGTGAGTTATAAAAAGTGAGTTAGTGCGTACCACCTCCGTCCCTCTAATTTTCATATTCAAAATAAATCCCTATAAAAATATCATTAGTCAAAATTGACTATAATTGATCAAAAAAGTTAATTTGACAAATCTTTTTGGAATAGGAGTAAAACAAAACAAAAATGTTTATTCTGTGCACGACACTGGTTGAAATATAGTACTAGATAGTCAAATTAGATCTTTTGATTCTAAATTAAACTGAACAATCTCGGATAAATTATATCTATGTACCGTGTAAAATAGTCTAACTTATGTTTTAACATTTTTAAACAGTAAACCTACCAAGAGGATAACATGAATACACACATAAGTGTCACACCCCGGACCTTCCCGGACACGTCAACAACCCGCCGTACAGTATGAATAGTCAACCGCAGTCCAACTCATCCATACTATACAAGGCGTCTTGAATACCATTCACATTAGTACATCCATAAACGATCATAATGTAAATCATTTAATTAAGCAGCGGAAATATTAATACAAGCATTCGAGCCACACGTGGCAAACACGGGCGTGCAAGCCCTAAATAATTATTCGGAAAATAGTATCCATGAGCATTAATTTGAAAGTTTAAAATAGGAACGGAGGAAGCACGAACCACGTCTCCTCTCCTTGATAATCCGCCCGAAGCAACGGTGATGGTAGCAATCTTCAAGTTCTACCTGAAACTGTGAGGTGGCCTCCCCCGTGAAGGGGAGGTCAGTACTTGGAAGCATTTGACAAGTACAATGACAACTATATTAAGTATAATCAAAGTTTCAATTTCCAAGACCCTCAATCTAGGATGTTATTATATTATAGGTCATAACCCATGGTTACCCTCTTTGAAAGTATACTTACTTTATATATAAAGTCAAGTAATCGCCCGAAGGCCCATGTTTACTTTGAAAACATTAAACCCTTTCCCCGTGACTTCAAGCCACACCCATCTATATTAGTTTACCATGCTAGAGGCTTCCTCTAGTCATGTTTTGTCGTGCTAGAGGCTGACTCTAGTCACTCCACTTGGTGTTAGAGGCTTCCTCTAATCACCTTACATATGTTGTGCTGGAGGCTTCCTCCAGTCACATTACGTTACGCTAGAGGCTTCCTCTAGTCGTCCTACACGAATGCTGGAGGCTTCCTCCAGTCATTCTTCATCGTGCTAGAGGCTTCCTCTAGTCACGATACTAGTTCACTAAGCAAGTTCTATGCCTAGAGTTCCTCTATTATGAGTAGCCTTTGAGGCCTACTCCTACGGTAACTTAGCGTTTACCCATTTCTACCTTAAGACATCTCATAAGACTACTTAAGGTGTACCTCTCTCACAATTCAAGCCCTTAGGATTTGTTCTATCACCTTTCACACTAACATTTCCGACTAGTAAAATCAATACTAATCCATTTGTCTTTAAGCCACCAAGCTCTTTAATTCCTAGTTATAGGGCTCATTCCCATGAATTTCCCAATCCATATATGATTTAATCTCAATATCAATAATATCACTTTTATCCATTCATGATTTCTATAAATGAAGTAAAAGTATATTTCATCACCAAAATTCATGATTTATACATTCATCATATCATCATTCTTACAATGCATAACTATACACCATTTACTCATAAATTTGTATATTATGCATCTTCTATTAATAAACAACAATATTTTCATTAGGCATTATTAATCATTAATAATCCATGAAAATCACATTTAATTATCTTAGGTAATCTTATGAAATTAACCCAAGGATTATAAGCAATATAGTCGGTCATCCTCACCTTAAGTGAGCTTAAGCGCGTTCTACGCTTCCCGGTTGAACTTTGACTAATTCCGGTGAACTTTGACCAACTCCGGCGAACTTTGACCAACTCCGGCGAAACTCCGGCGAAGCTCGAAAATGCTCTAATCAAGTTCCTAACAAGGTTTTAACATCATGAAACCTTAATCAAACAAATAACCTTTAAAAGGTTATTTTCCGGTGAACTTGTCGGTTTGGCTCCTAAGTCCGTTTTTGGACTTAGAACCACTCTCCAACCTATTATTCCACACTTTAATTTTTTAGAACAACCTCAAGGTCCTTCATATGATATATATCACATATGATAGAAGAAAAATAAAGGAAAAGTTAATATAAGGTTATTACCTTAACCTTTCTCACTTTTCCTAGCTTTTTTTCTCCTTTTAATCTTTCCCCTTGGACTTCTATTGCTTGAGCTCTCTTCAAGGATGGGAAAAGGGGGATGGGGATTTTCTTTTCTTGCTGGGGTTGGTGCTGGCCGAGAGGAATGAGGGAGAGAGGGGTGAGGGGATGGTCTTTTGTCTCAAAGATCAAATGGGGTGGATGTGGTCCCCTTTTTTTTGTTTGATGCTTCTTCTTTCACTTCACACACATCACCCATGCCTCTTCCACCACCCAGCCGGCCAAGACATGAAAAAATGTGGCTAATTTCGTGGGTTGGCCCCCACCCACGTGGGAGGTCAACCCCTTTTGTCCAGAAGTGTACACTTTGTCCCGAAAGTTGTATTTTTCGGACCATTTAAAATATATTTTATTTTATCGGGTCAAATAAAATATATTATGTATTTCCAATCATTATGACCATTACAAGGAATATACATTCCCCAAATTTAATTTATAAGCCTCCGAAATTCATTTCGGGCTGTTATCTGTTAAATTACCGATACCGGTATCTGGGCCTTCTTTGGCCAATCGGTCAACTCTGGGCCTTTCCACGGACCAAGTGAAGTATCCACCACTATATGAATATTATCTTGACCAAGATAAATAAAATGTATGGTTTTGGGAATTACGGGCGGCCCCCGCTCCCGGTGTGGGCCCCACGTGCGAATTTACTATTCCCGCAAAAGAGTTAATAAAAATTCATAGCATCGTAAACTCTTTAACCATTCAATAAGGTTACATACAATATTCACTTAAAAGTAAATACACTTGGGGACGGTGTTACAAGTTCACCCCCCCTTATTTGGGATTTCGTCCCCGAAATCCGCGCGTCTAATCTAACAGAAACGGGTATTGCTCCCTCATTGAGACCTCAGTCTCCCATGTTTCTTCTTCGACTCGATCACTCCTCCAAAGGACTTTCACCATAGGAATCTCCTTGTT